AGCAGGGCGTGGAGCGGAAGGTCCTCCTGGGCAACCAGCTGCCGCGCTTCGCCGCCGCCTGAGGGGGGCGCCACCCGCACGCCGCCCCCCACCCCGGGCGATGGACAGAATAAACTATCGCACCCCACACCCGGCCTCTGTCATTCCAGCCGGACGCCTGGGTTCTCTCCCCGGCTCTGGGAGGGGAGTGGGGGCTGGTGGGTTACAGCAGGGGGGCTGGGAGCCAGGACTCCTGGGTTCTCTCCCCAGCTCTGGGAGGGCAGTGGGGCCTGGGGGGTCAGAGCAGGGGGGCTGGGAGCCAGGACTCCTGGGTTCTCTCCCTGGCTCTGGGAGGGCAGTGGGGCCTGGGGGTTAGAGCAGGGGGGCAGGGAGCCGGGACTCCTGGGTTCCTCTGGGGCAGGCCATGCCCCGTTTCTGCCTGCACCCTGTATCTGTCGGCTCTTTCCCAGCCCCTGTGGTGGGGGCAGGGCTGGGGGGCAGGGCGCTGGGCTGAGCAAACGGGGGCCGGGGGGGGGATTCAGCCGCGGGCTCCGCCCTGGCCGTGCCAGGGGTATCGCAGGGAGTTGCTGCCCCACCCCCCGGCCTCCCTTCCCCCGCCTGGGCCGGCTCTGTGTGCGGGCCGGGCTGGGCGCCAGGATCTCGCCTGCCAGCCACAGCCCCCGCCCAGTGCCTCTAGGGCATGTCAGTGCCCCGCCCCACAGCCCCCCAGCTGGGCCGTGGGGCTGGATTGGTGCCCGGGGGGAACCCGACTGGTTCTGATCCCGGATCCCCCGGTCAGACACCAAACCCCCCTGAGTTCTGAACCCTCCTTTATGGCCGTGCTGGTGCAATCTCCCCTCCCCTCCCCGCCGACAAAACCCCAGGCAGGAGCCACCCCACACCCCCCTCCCTGAGTCCAGCCCCATATCGCCCCCCAGCCGAGAGTCCTCTGCAGGGCTGGGGGTCAGCTGCAGGGTCCTCGTGGGGGGCTGGCAGTAGGCGCGGGCTGTGTCCAGGGGTCTGTCTCTCTGTTGCGGGCAGGGCTGGTTGGTGCTGGGGGTCCCAGTCCACCGTCAGCCGGTGCAGTCGATGCCGCGGGGGACTGGTGGGCGCCGGCGGGTGCAGTCGATGCCGCGGGGGCTGGCGGGCGCCGGCGGGTGCAGTCGATGCTGCGGGGGCTGGCGGGCGCCGGCGGGTGCAGTCGATGCCGTGGGGGGCTGGCGGGCGCCGTGGGGGGGGCTGGCGGGCACCAGCGGGTGCAGTCGATGCCGTGGGGGGCTGGCAGGCATCGTGGGGGGGCTGGTGGGTGCTGGCGGGTGCAGTCGATGCCACGGGGGGCTGGTGGGCGCCGGGGGGGCTGGCGGGCACCGGCGGGTGCAGTCGATGCCGCGGGGGACTGGCGGGCGCCGGCGGGTGCAGTCGATGCCGTGGGGGGCTGGCAGGCATCGTGGGGGGCTGGCGGGCACCATGGGGGGGGCTGGTGGGTGCCGGCGGGTGCAGTCGATGCCGCGGGGGGCTGGCGGGCGCCATGGGGGGGCTGGCGGGCACCGGCGGGTGCAGTCGATGCCGTGGGAGGCTGGCAGGTGCCCGTGGGTGCAGTCGATGCCGTGGGGGACTGGCGGGCGCCGGCAGGTGCAGTCGATGCCGTGGGGGGCTGGCAGGCATCGTGGGGGGCTGGCGGGCCCCATGGGGGGGGCTGGTGGGTGCCGGCGGGTGCAGTCGATGCCGTGGGGAGGCTGGCGGGTGCCCGTGGGTGCAGTCGATGCCGTGGGGGACTGGCGGGCGCCGGCGGGTGCAGTCGATGCCGTGGGGGGCTGGCAGGCATCGTGGGGGGCTGGCGGGCCCCATGGGGGGCTGGTGGGTGCCGGCGGGTGCAGTCGATGCCGTGGGAGGCTGGCGGGTGCCCGTGGGTGCAGTCGATGCCGTGGGGGACTGGCGGGCGCCGGCGGGTGCAGTCGATGCCGTGGGGGGCTGGCAGGCATCGTGGGGGGCTGGCGGGCGCCATGGGGGGGGGCTGGTGGGTGCCGGCGGGTGCAGTCGATGCCGTGGGGGGCTGGCAGGCATCATGGGGGGCTGGCGGGCGCCATGGGGGGGGGCTGGCGGGCACCGGCGGGTGCAGTCGATGCCGTGGGGGGCTGGCGGGCGCCGGCGGGTGCAGTCGGTGCCGTGGGGGGCTGGCGGGCGCCGTGGGGGGCTGGCGGGCGCCGGCGGGTGCAGTCGATGCCGTGACCCAGATGCCTGGGACTGGCTGGGTCCCGGCCCCCCTTGGCTCCGCCCCCCCCCCCCCAGGGGCCAGCCCCGCTGGGGGAGGGGGAGGGATGGAGTCCTGGGGGGCTGTGGGTCAGCAGTGAGGGGCACTGGCGAGGCAGGGGGCTGTAGGTCAGGAGTGAGGGGCACCAGCAGAGCTGGGGTGGGGGGCAGGGATGGAGTCCCAGGGGGCTGTGGGTCCAGAGTGAGGGGCACCGGCAGGGCTGGGGGGGGGCAGGGATGGAGTCCCGGGGGGCTGTGGGTCAGGAGTGAGGGGCACCGGCAGGGCTGGGGGGCGGGAGCGAGGGCGACCGGCAGAGCTGGGGGGGCAGGGATGGAGTCCCGGGGGGCTGTGGGTCAGGAGTGAGGGGCACCGGCAGGGCTGGGGGGCAGGGCTGGAGTCCCGGGGGCTGTGGGTCAGGAGTGAGGGGCACCGGCAGGGGGCAGGGATGGAGTCCCGGGGGGCTGTGGGTCGGGAGTGAGGGGCACCGGCAGGGGGCAGGGATGGAGTCCCGGGGGGCTGTGGGTCGGGAGTGAGGGGCACCGGCAGGGGGCAGGGATGGAGTCCCGGGGGGCTGTGGGTCGGGAGTGAGGGGCACCGGCAGGGGGCAGGGATGGAGTCCCGGGGGGCTGTGGGTCGGGGGGGGGGGGCACCGGAAGGGGGCAGGGATGGAGTCCGGGGGGGCTGGGTCGGCGGAGGGGGGGGGGCAGGGAGGGGCCGGCAGGGGGGGGAGGGGGCTGGGGTCGGGAGGAGGGGCACCGGCAGAGGGGGGGCAGGGATGGAGTCCCGGGGGCTGTGGGTCAGCAGTGAGGGGCACCGGCAGGGCTGGGGGGCGGGGGGCTGTGGGTCAGCAGTGGGGGGCACCGGCAGGGGGCAGGGATGGAGTCCCGGGGGGCTGTGGGTCATGAGTGAGGGGCACCGGCGGGGCGGGGGGCTGCGGGTCGGGAGTGAGGGGCACCGGCAGAGCTGGGGGGGCATGGATGGAGTCCCGGGGGGCTGTGGGTCACGAGTGAGGGGCACCGCCAGGGCTGGGCTAGCAGGGGGTTGTGGGTCCAGAGTGAGGGGCACCCGCAGGGCTGGGGGCGGGGGGCAGGGATGGTGTCCTGGGGGCCTGTGGGTCAGGAGTGAGGGGCACCGGCAGGGCTGGGGGGCGGGGGGCTGTGGGTCAGCAGTGAGGGGCACCGGCAGGGGGCAGGGATGGAGTCCCGGGGGGCTGTGGGTCAGGAGTGAGGGGCACTGGCAGGGGGCAGGGATGGAGTCCCGGGGGCTGTGGGTCGGGAGTGAGGGGCACCGGTAGGGGGCATGGATGGAGTCCCGGGGGCTGTGGGTCAGCAGTGAAGGGCACCGGAAGGGGGCAGGGATGGAGTCCTGGGGGGCTGTGGGTCAGCAGTGAGGGGCACCGGCAGGGGGCAGGGATGGAGTCCCGGGGGGCTGTGGGTCAGCAGTGAGGGGCACCGGCAGGGGGGCAGGGATGGAGTCCTGGGGGGCTGTGGGTCAGCAGTGAGGGGCACCGGCAGGGGGCAGGGATGGAGTCCCGGGGGGCTGTGGGTCAGGAGTGGGGGGCACCGGCAGGGCTGGAGGGCGGGGGGCTGTGGGTCAGCAGTGAGGGGCACTGGCAGGGGGCAGGGATGGAGTCCCGGGGGCTGTGGGTCAGGAGTGGGGGGCACCGGCAGGGCTGGAGGGCGGGGGGCTGTGGGTCAGCAGTGAGGGGCACCGGCAGGGGGCAGGGATGGAGTCCCGGGGGGCTGTAAGTCAGGAGTGGGGGGCACCGGCAGGGCTGGAGGGCGGGGGGCTGTGGGTCAGCAGTGAGGGGCACTGGCAGGGGGCAGGGATGGAGTCCCGGGGGCTGTGGGTCAGGAGTGGGGGGCACCGGCAGGGCTGGAGGGCGGGGGGCTGTGGGTCAGCAGTGAGGGGCACCGGCAGGGGGCAGGGATGGAGTCCCGGGGGGCTGTGGGTCAGGAGTGAGGGGCACCGGGGGGCAGGGAGGGGGGGGGGGGTCGGGGGGCAGGGGGCATGGATGGAGTCCCGGGGGGCTGTGGGTCGGGAGTGAGGGGCACCGGCAGGGGGCAGGGATGGAGTCCCGGGGGGCTGTGGGTCGGGAGTGAGGGGCACCGGCAGGGCTAGGGGGAAGCAGGGGGCAGGGATGGTGTCCGGGGGGCTGTGGGTCAGGAGTGGGGGGCACCGGCAGGGCTGGAGGGCGGGGGGCTGTGGGTCAGCAGTGAGGGGCACCGGCAGGGGGCAGGGATGGAGTGCGGGGGGGGGGAGTGGGGGGGGGGGGGGGCCCGGGGCTGGAGGGCGGGGGCTGTGGGTCAGCAGTGAGGGGCACGGGGGCAGGAGGGGGGGTGTGGGGGGCAGGGATGGAGTCCCGGGGGCCTGTGGGTCAGGAGTGAGGGGCCCGGCGGAGTCCCGGGGGCCTGTGGGTCAGGGGGGGGGCGGGGGGGGGCAGGGGGCTGTGGGTCAGCAGTGAGGGGCACCGGCAGGGGGGCAGGGATGGAGTCCCGGGGGCTGTGGGTCAGGAGTGAGGGGCACCGGCAGGGGGCTGGGATGGAGTGCCGGGGGGCTGTGGGTCAGCAGTGAGGGGCACCGGCAGGGGGCAGGGATGGAGTCCGGGGGGGCTGTGGGTCAGCAGTGAGGGGCACCGGCAGGGATGGAGTCCCGGGGGGCTGTGGGTCAGGAGTGGGGGGCACCGGCAGGGCTGGGGGGCAGGGGGCTGCGGGTCGGGAGCGAGGGCCACCGGCAGCTGCCGGGATCCGGCCCCATGGCCCAGCCCCAGTTGTTGTGGGGTCCGTGGGGTGCCCAGGGCGGCGCAGCGCAGGAGGGTGTGTTATTGTAGGGTCTCCCCGGAGCCCGGCCCCACCTCCCCTGCTGGGGAACCCCCAGGCCGCCCCTAGCCCCACACCGCGGGGCGTCCGCTCCAGTCTATGGGGCAGGGCGTGTCTGCCCCCCGCTCCCTGCCTGGCGGGGGGAGGCGAGGCCGGGCCGGGCTGGGCTGTCCCGGGCCGGGCTCCAAGCTCCCCCCACAACTTCCCCTTCCCGGCCCAGCGGCGCCGTGTCCCACCCGGCCGGGCGCGGGGAGTCGGGGGCCGCGCACCCCCAGGCCGTGGGGCGGGGCGGGGAGACCCCTGGTAAGTGTCCGGGTTCCCCACAAGCGGGGGGGAAGGGAATTTCCTCGGGGGGGGGGAGGTCCTAGATCCCCCTCTTTGTGCCCCCCCCCGGGACGCCCCTCGCCGTGTGGGTCGCTGCCGCCGCCGGTCCCTCCCCTGGGGGGGGGGAGCCCTGGTCCCCGCCCCATAACAAGGGGGGTCCCGTTCTCCCCTCCCCGTTACCCAGAGCAACCCCCCCGCCAGGGGCGGAGCTGAGCCACCTGCGCCTCCCAGACGACGGGACCCTCCCCAGATGCAGCCGCCGGGGGGGGCCTGCAGGGACAAAGCTGCTCTCTGCCCCCCCCCGTTCCCCGCTCCCCCACGTGACTTGGAAGTGACTCAAAATCTCCGTTTGCTAATTACAACCGCGGGGGCGGGGCTGTGGGCCAGGATGACGGGTGGGGCGGGGTGGACTGGGGGGGCTGGCAGGGGGCTGGGGGGCAGGACTGAGGGGCACGGGGGGGCTGTGGGCCAGGATGACGGGTGGGGCTGGCTGGGGGGCAGGGCCGAGGGGCACGAGGGGGGCTGTGGGTCAGGATGATGGGTGGGGCAGGGTGGACTGGGGGGGGGCTGGCAGGGGGCTGGGGGGCAGGACTGAGGGGCACCGGGGGACTGTGGGCCAGGATGACGGGTGGGGCTGGCTGGGGGCTGGGGGGCAGGGCTGTGGGCCAGGATGATGGGTGGGGCAGGGTGGACTGGGGGGGCTGGCAGGGGGCTGGGGGGCAGGACTGAGGGGCACGGGGGGGCTGTGGGCCAGGATGACGGGTGGGGTGGGGTGGACTGGGGCGGCTGGCAGGGGGCTGGGGGGCAGGACTGAGGGGCACGGGGGGGCTGTGGGCCAGGATGACGGGTGGGGCTGGCTGGGGGGCAGGGCCGAGGGGCACGAGGGGGGCTGTGGGTCAGGATGATGGGTGGGGCAGGGTGGACTGGGGGGGCTGGCAGGGGGCTGGGGGGCAGGACTGAGGGGCACCGGGGGACTGTGGGCCAGGATGACGGGTGGGGCTGGCAGGGGGCTGGGGGGCAGGGCTGTGGGCCAGGATGATGGGTGGGGCAGGGTGGACTGGGGGGGCTGGCAGGGGGCTGGGGGGCAGGACTGAGGGGCACGGGGGGGGCTGTGGGCCAGGATGACGGGTGGGGTGGGGTGGACTGGGGGGGCTGGCAGGGAGCTGGGGGGCAGGACTGAGGGGCACCGGGGGACTGTGGGCCAGGATGACGGGTGGGGCTGGCAGGGGGCTGGGGGGCAGGGCTGTGGGCCAGGATGATGGGTGGGGCAGGGTGGACTGGGGGGGCTGGCAGGGAGCTGGGGGGCAGGGCCGAGGGGCACGGGGAGGCTGTGGGCCAGGATGACGGGTGGGGCGGGGGTGGACTGGGGGGGGCTGGCAGGGAGCTGGGGGGCAGGACTGAGGGGCACGGGGGGACTGTGGGCCAGGATGATGGGTGGGGCTAGCAGGGGGCTGGGGGGCAGGGCCGAGGGGCACAGGGGGGGCTGTGGGCCAGGATGATGGGTGGGGCAGGGTGGACTGGGGGGGCTGGCAGGGAGCTGGGGGGCAGGACCGAGGGGCATGGGGGGGCTGTGGGCCAGGATGAGGGGTGGGGCGGGGTGGACTGGGGGGGCTGGCATGGGGCTGGGGGGCAGGGCCGAGGGGCACAGGGGGGCTGTGGGCCAGGATGATGGGTGGGGCAGGGTGGACTGGGGGGGCTGGCATGGGGCTGGGGGCAGGGCCGAGGGGCCAGGGGGGCTGTGGGCCAGGATGACGGGTGGGGCTAGAGGGGGCTGGGGGGCAGGGCCGAGGGGCACAGGGGGGCTGTGGGCCAGGATGATGGGTGGGGCAGGGTGGACTGGGGGGCTGGCAGGGAGCTGGGGGGCAGGGCCGAGGGGACGGGGGGCTGTGGGCAGGATGACGGGTGGGGGTGGGGTGGACGGGGGGGCTGGCAGGGAGCTGGGGGGCAGGACGAGGGGCACGGGGGACGTGGGCCAGGATGACGGGTGGGGCAGGGTGGACGGGGGGGCTGGAGGGGGCTGGGGGGAGGACTGAGGGGACGGGGGGCTGGGGCAGGATGATGGGTGGGGGCGGGGTGGACTGGGGGGCTGGCAGGGGGCTGGGGGGCAGGACTGAGGGGCACCGGGGGACGTGGGCCAGGATGACGGGTGGGGCTGGAGGGGGCTGGGGGGCAGGGCTGTGGGCAGGATGATGGGTGGGGCTAGAGGGGGCTGGGGGGAGGGCCGAGGGGAAGGGGGGGCTGGGGCCAGGATGAGGGTGGGGCTAGCAGGGGGCTGGGGGGCAGGGCCGAGGGGCACAGGGGGGCGTGGGCCAGGATGATGGGTGGGGCAGGGTGGACTGGGGGGGCTGGCATGGGGCTGGGGGGCAGGGCCGAGGGGCACAGGGGGGGCTGTGGGCCAGGATGACGGGTGGGGCTAGCAGGGGGCTGGGGGGCAGGGCCGAGGGGCACAGGGGGGGCTGTGGGCCAGGATGATGGGTGGGGCAGGGTGGACTGGGGGGGCTGGCAGGGAGCTGGGGGGCAGGGCCGAGGGGCACGGGGGGGCTGTGGGCCAGGATGACGGGTGGGGCGGGGTGGACTGGGGGGGCTGGCAGGGAGCTGGGGGGCAGGACTGAGGGGCACGGGGGGACTGTGGGCCAGGATGACGGGTGGGGCAGGGTGGACTGGGGGGGCTGGCAGGGGGCTGGGGGGCAGGACTGAGGGGCACGGGGGGGCTGTGGGCCAGGATGATGGGTGGGGCGGGGTGGACTGGGGGGGCTGGCAGGGGGCTGGGGGGCAGGACTGAGGGGCACCGGGGGACTGTGGGCCAGGATGACGGGTGGGGCTGGCAGGGGGCTGGGGGGCAGGGCTGTGGGCCAGGATGATGGGTGGGGCTAGCAGGGGGCTGGGGGGCAGGGCCGAGGGGCACGGGGGGGTCACCTCTCCCCCGGCCACTCCCCGTCCCGGCTCAGAGGAAAGGAATGTGGAAGCGCAGCGGAGCTGGGTGCGGACCCCCCCCGCCCTGGCCTCGCTGGGGGGTGAGGGGGGGCTGCCGCCAAAGGCCGTCCCCAGCCCCCTGCTAGCCCAGCCCCCTCCTGGTGCCCCCCAAGCTCTGCTCTGTAAAGCCCCCCCCCGTCCCCATAGTGACCGTCTGGGCCGCAGGCCAGGGGCTGCTGTTACATAAGCAGCCGGGGGGGGCTCCCCCCGATTAACCCCACAATGGTCCCTGACCGATCCACCTGGGTCACCCCCCGCTTGCCCTGGGGGAGCCCCGTGAATCCTCTTCCACCCCCCAGGCCGGTGGAGCGGAGGAGGGGCATTATCCCGGGGGGGGGGAGCCTGGCCCCACCAGGAATTTGTCCCAGGAAACTCCCGGACACCTGGGTTCCCTCTCCCCTCCTCCCTGCCCGCCAGGACCCTGACCACTGGTGGTTAAAGCGGGGGGGGGGGGGGAAGCCTGAGAGCCCGAACTCCTGGGTTCTCTCCCCAGCTGTGGGAGGGGAGTGGGGGTTGGTGGTTAAAGCAGGGGGTCTGGAAGCCCGGACTCCTGGGTTCTCTCCCCGGCTCTGGGAGGGGAGTGGGGGCTGGTGGGTACAGCAGGGGGGCTGGGAGCCGGACTCCTGGGTTCTCTCCCTGGCTCTGGGAGGACAGTGGGGGCTGGTGGTTAAAGCAGGGGGGCTGGGAGCCAGGACTCCTGGGTTCTCTCCCCGGCTCTGGGAGGGGAGTGGGGGCTGGTGGTTAAAGCAGGGGGGCTGGGAGCCCGGACTCCTGGGTTCTCTCCCCGGCTCTGGGAGGGGAGTGGGGGCTGGTGGGTTACAGCAGGGGGGCTGGGAGCCCGGACTCCTGGGTTCTCTCCCTGGCTCTGGGAGGACAGTGGGGGCTGGTGGTTAAAGCAGGGGGGCTGGGAGCCAGGACTCCTGGGTTCTCTCCCCGGCTCTGGGAGGACAGTGGGGGCTGGTGGTTAAAGCAGGGGGGCTGGGAGCCAGGACTCCTGGGTTCTCTCCCCGGCTCTGGGAGGGGAGTGGGGGCTGGTGGGTTACAGCAGGGGGGCTGGGAGCCAGGACTCCTGGGTTCTCTCCCCGGCTCTGGGAGGGGAGTGGGGGCTGGTGGGTTACAGCAGGGGGGCTGGGAGCCCGGACTCCTGGGTTCTCTCCCTGGCTCTGGGAGGACAGTGGGGGCTGGTGGTTAAGCAGGGGGGGGGCTCTGGGTTCTCCCCGTGGGAGGGGAGTGGGGGCTGGTGGTTAAAGCAGGGGGGCTGGGAGCCAGGACTCCTGGGTTCTCTCCCCGGCTCTGGGAGGGGAGTGGGGGCTGGTGGGTTACAGCAGGGGGGCTGGGAGCCCGGACTCCTGGGTTCTCTCCCCTTCCACAGGCCGGCACCATGCAGAACCTGGCTGGCCCCTTCGCCGGGGGCACCTCGCTGGACGCCTCGGACCTGCAGGTGGATGGGGACGAAGTGGACGGGCTGCGGGAGGGGGAGGAGCCAGGTGAGTGGGGCGGGGGGGCGGGGGGTTAAGACTCCGGCGCCCTGGCGCAGCGTGGGGGGTGGGCAGCCCAACCCCCTCAGCCAAGGGCTGGGTGTCAGGACCCTCCCCAGGAACCCAGGCGTCCTGGCACCGGCCAAATGGCTGGTGCCCGGCCCTCCCAAACCGGGGTCCGGTGTGTCCGTGTGTCTGTCACTCAGCAGGGGGCTTTGCCGCCTCCATGCATGTGGGGGAGGGAGACGGGGGGGGTCCGTCCGTCCGCCCACCCTGACCCGTCCGTCCGTCCGTCCTGCAGGGGGCCCGCTCTACCCCTTCCTGGCGGTCTATGACCTGAAGCCGCTCAAGTCGCAGGGGCCGGTGTTTGCCAAGGGGGTGCCCGTCATCGCCCGGGTGGAGGGCACCGAGCGGTACACCACCGGCTCCAAGGTGAGCGGGGACGGGGGGCTGGGAGCCAGGACGCCTGGGTTCTCTCCCCGGCTCTGGGAGGGCAGTGGGGGCTGGTGGGTCAGAGCAGGGGGGCTGGCAGCCTGGACTCCTGGGTTCTCTCCCTGGCTCTGGGAGGGGAGGGGGGGCTGGGGGTGAGAACGGGGGGCTGGCAGCCTGGACTCCTGGGTTCTCTCCCAGCTCTGGGAGGGGAGGGGGTCCGGTGAGTTAGGCAGCACGGGCTGAGCCAGGACTCCTGGTTCTCTCCTGGCGGGAGGGGGGGGGGCTGGGGGGGACGGGGGGGCTGGCAGCCAGGACTCCTGGGTTCTCTCCCTGGCTCTGGGAGGGGAGGGGGGCTGGGGGGCTAGAGCAGGGGGGGCTGGCAGCCAGGACTCCTGGGTTCTCTCCCTGGCTCTGGGACGGGAGGGGGGGCTGGGGGTGAGAACGGGGGGGCTGGCAGCCAGGACTCCTGGGTTCTCTCCCCAGCTCTGGGAGGGGAGGGGGGGCTGGGGGTGAGAACGGGGGGGCTGGCAGCCTGGACTCCTGGGTTCTCTCCCCAGCTCTGGGAGGGGAGGGGGGTCCGGTGAGTTAGCGCAGCCCGGGCTGGCAGCCAGGACTCCTGGGTTCTCTCCCCGGCTCTGGGAGGGGAGGGGGACCTGGGGGGTGAGAACGGGGGGGCTGGCAGCCAGGACTCCTGGGTTCTCTCCCGGCAGATCCGGCCCAGCACACTGTACTCCCTGCGCCTGACCCACGGCGATTTCACCTGGACCATGAAGAAGAAGTTCAAGCACTTCCAGGAGCTGCACCGTGACCTGATGAGACACAAGATCTTCATGAGCTTCCTGCCCCTCTCCAGGTCCGAGCCGCCCCCCACCCCCAGCCCTGCAGCGGGTCCTGTGCCGCAGGAACCCCCCCCCAGCACTGGAAGGGCCCCGATCCCTGCTGCCCCACACGCCAGCTGGCATTTCCCAGGCCTCGCCCCAAATTGGTCTCCAAAGCAACTAGCTGCCCCAAAACGCCCTAGGATAACCCTTCCAGGGCTGGGACTGGCTGACTCAGGGGGGCAGGGAATGGGGCACGGGGCCTGTCCCCTCTAGGGGGCACGAGCTCCCACCCAGCCCCAGGGCTGGATTGGCTGACTCAGGGGGCAGGGAATGGGGCACGGGGCCTGTCCCCTCTAGGGGGCACGAGCTCCCACCCAGCCCCAGGGCTGGGATTGGCTGACTCAGGGGGGCAGGGAATGGGGCACGGGGCCTGTCTCACCCCGGCTCTGATTGCACCCCCCAGGTTTGCTGTCCATGGGTCCCGCGCAGAGGCCACCTCTCTGGAGATGCCCGCCCTGCCCCATGGGGGTGATGGCACTTCCAGACGCCCCTCCAGCAAACAGGTAGGGGGCAGAGGGGGTGGGATGCGGGGGGTTCGGGGGGGCCACTCCTGGGTTCCAGGGCTAGGAAGGGCCATGGGCAGCATGGGGGGCCCGTGGGGCAGCTGGGGGTGCAGAGGAGCCCCCGTGTGGATTCTGGGGGGGCTGGGAGGAGTCCCGGAGGCAGGCAGGACTGCTTTAAATCACTGATATATAATCCGGATTGAAATCCAGGAGCTGCAGCCCCGCGCAAATCACAGACATTTTGCCTTTGGGCTTTTCTCTTTTCCCAAGGCCAGGCCGACTCTCACTGGCCGGTGACCGCGGCCCGGGTCCCTCGGCGCTAGCCGGGAGGCCAGGCTGCGGCTACACCCCCTCGTTTACGCAGTGACGTCACCCAGCTCGCCTTCCTCCCGAGTCTTCACTTACTGTCAGGAGTCTGCCTTGTCGCCTGTTAGCCGAGGGCGACCGACCCCGTTCGCTCTTCCCGAGAGATTGAGTCACGTTTCGGGGTGTCTCCCCAGCTCTGGGGGGGGGGGGGCTGGGAGCCAGGACTCCTGGGTTCTTGTGAGAACCCCCACTCCTGGGCTGTTCACGCACAGCTTCTGGCATGTGAGCTGCTCCTTGGATTGTGCAAGCGAATGCCACGAGCCAATATCTCCGGTCCCAGACACAACCCTGGGAACCCCGCCTTGCAGCGTCCCGTTCTGCCCGCTGGACGCGGCCAGCGTGTAGGAGCCCGTCACTGGACCAAAGACATGGCTAGGTACCCGGCTGGTTCTCCCAAGGGGAGCCTCGGACACACTGCAAACCAACCGCACGGCTTCGGGGAGAACAAACGCACAGATCTACGAGCTACCAAGACCGATTTTAAGAGATTATCAGTCAAGGCACAAGAAGTCGGATCTGGTGAAACGAAATGAAAGCAAAACGCGCTCGAAGCTGCCCGTAAGGCTTTCGGTCCCTCACAAACGTAGATGTGTCTCACCATAGGCTGCCTGGTTGCCCTTCGGCCAGGCTCTCCCCTTTGACCAGCGCGTCAGCCGCTGGGTGGTGGGGTCTGTAGATGGAGGTGGGAGAGAGAGAGAGAGCGGGGCAAACGTCTCTCCCTTTCCTCATGTTCTTTCCTCCCTCTTGGTTCCCACCCCCAGAGTTAGGGGAGCATTACCTCATCCCAGTCCCAAACTGACCAAAGGAAGCGGGGGACTCACTCCAGAGTCAACAATTTATTTGAGCATAAGCTTTCGTGAGCTACAGCTTACTTCATCGGATGCATACTGTGGAAAGTGCAGAAGATCTTTTTATATACAAACAAAGCATGAAAAAATACCTCCTCCCACCCCACTCTCCTGCTGGTAATAGCTTATCTAAAGTGATCACTCTCCTTACAATGTATGATAATCAAGGTGGGCCATTTCCAGCACAAATCTAGGGTTCAACAAGAACGTCTGAGGAGGGGCGGGGGTAGGAAAAAACAAGGGGAAATAGGCTACCTTGCATAATGACTTAGCCACTCCCAAGCCTAAGTTAATTGTATCCAATTTGCAAATGAATTCCAATTCAGCAGTCTCTTGCTGGAGTCTGGATTTGAAGTTTTTCTGTTGTAATATCGCAACTTTCATGTCTGTAATCACGTGACCAGAGAGATTGAAGTGTTCTCCGACTGGTTTATGAATGTTATAATTCTTGACATCTGATTTGTGGCCATTTATTCTTTTACGTAGAGACTGTCCGGTTTGGCCAATGTACATGGCAGAGGGGCATTGCTGGCACATGATGGCATCTATCACATTGGTGGATGTGCAGGTGAACGAGCCTCTGATAGTGTGGCTGATGTTGATTAGGCCCTGTGATGGTGTCCCCTGAATAGATATGTGGGCACAGTTGGCAACGGGCTTTGTTGCAAGGATAAGTTCCTGGGTTAGTGGTTCTGTTGTGTGGTATGTGGTTGTTGGTGAGTATTTGCTTCAGGTTGCGGGGCTGTCTGTAGGCAAGGACTCGCCTCAAGATTTGTGAGAGTGTTGGGTCGTCCTTCAGGATAGGCTGTAGATCCTTAATAATGCGTTGGAGGGGGCTGAAGGTGACGGCTAGTGGCGTTCTGTTATTTTCTTTGTTAGGCCTGTCCTGTAGTAGGTGACTTCTGGGAACTCTTCTGGCTCTATCAATCTGTTTCTTCACTTCTGCAGGTGGGTATTGTAGTTGTAAGAAAGCTTGACAGAGATCTTGTAGGTGTTTGTCTCTGTCTGAGGGGTTGGAGCAAATGCGGTTGTATCCAGAAAACCTGGATTTGTGCTGGAAATGGCCCAACTTGATTATCATACATTGTAAGGAGAGTGATCACTTTAGATAAGCTATTACCAGCAGGAGAGTGGGGTGGGAGGAGGTATTGTTTCATGGTCTCTGTGTATATAATGTCTTCTGCAGTTTCCACGGTATGCATCCGATGAAGTGAGCTGTAGCTCATGAAAGCTCATGCTCAAATAAATTGGTTAGTCTCTAAGGTGCCACAAGTACTCCTTTTCTTTTTGCGAATACAGACTAACACGGCTGTTCCTCTGAAACAATTCTTTTGTTGCTGCCGAGGCCAGCGTCCTTTGTTCCTGTGAGGCTGGGCTGGGTACATAGATCAGGATTGGAAGAGACCTCAGGAGTCATCTAGTCCCACCCCCAGCGCAAAGCAGGACCACCCCCAACTAAATCATCCCAGCCAGGGCTTTGTCAAGCCGGGCCTTAAAAACTTCAAAGGAAGGAGATTCCATCACCTCCCTAGGTAACGCATTCCAGTGCTTCACCACCCTCCTCGTGAAATAGTGTTTCCTAATATCCAACCTAGACCTCCCCCACTGCAACGTGAGACCATTACTCCTTGTTCTGTCATCTGCCACCACTGAGAACAGTCTAGCTCCATCCTCTTTGGAACCCCCTTTCAGGTAGTTGAAAGCAGCTATCAAATCCCCCCTCATTCTTCTCTTCTGCAGACTAAACAATCCCAGTTCCCTCAGCCTCTCCTCATAAGTCATGTGTTCCAGACCCCTCATCATTTTTGTTGCCCTCCACTGGACATTTTCCAATTTTTCCACATCCTTCTTGTCGTGTGGGGCCCAAAACTGGACACAGTACTCCAGATGAGGCCTCACCCATGTCAAATAGAGGGGAATGATCATGTCCCTCGGTCTGCTGGCAATGCCCCTACGTATACATCCCAAAATGCCATTGGCCTTCTTGGCAACAAGGGCACACTGCTGACTCATATCCAGCTTCTCGTCCACTGTCACCCCTAGGTCCTTTTCCGCAGAACTGCTGCCTAGCCATTCGGTCCCTAGTCTGTAGCTGTGCATTGGATTCTTCCGTCCTAAGTGCAGAACCCTGCACTTATCCTTATTGAACCTCATCAGATTTCTTTTGGCCCAATCCTCCAATTTGTCTAGGTCCCTCTGTATCCTATCCCTACCCTCCAGCGTATCTACTTCTCCTCCCAGTTTAGTGTCCTCTGCAAACTCGCTGAGAGTGCAATCCACACCATCCTCCAGATCATTAATGAAGATACTGAATAAAACCGGCCCCAGGACCGACCCTTGGGGCACTCCACTTGATACCGGCTGCCAACTAGACATGGAGCCATTGATCACTCCCCGCTGAGCCCAACAATCTAGCCAGCTTTCTACCCACCTTACAGTGCATTCATCCAGCCCATACTTCTTTAACTTGCTGACAAGAATACTGTGGGAGACCGTGTCAAAAGCTTTGCTAAAGTCAAGGAACAACACATCCACTGCTTTCCCCTCATCCACAGAGCCAGTTATCTCGCCATAGGTGGCAATTTGGTTGGTCAGGCATGACTTGCCCTTGGTGAATCCATGCTGACCAGTCCTGATCACTTTCCTCTCCTCCAAGTGCTTCAGAATTGATTCCTTGAGGACCTGCTCCATGATTTTTCCAGGGACTGAAGTGAGGCTGGCCCGTCTGTAGTTCCCTGGGTTCTCTGTCTTCCCTTTTTAAAATATGGGCACACCTGCCCCTCTGCTCCTGGAGAGTTTTTGCCCGGGCTTCCTTTAAACCATGAGGACACGTTTTCAGCCTCATAACGATATCCATGAAATTATAACCTATAACCTCACTGTAACAACAACACTCAGGGCACCATAAGCCTTCCCAACATGCCCGACACGACAAACTTTGCATTGGACACCACACAATCATTTTACAAGGATGAACCTGGGGGTGTAGGGTCTTCCCCTGAGGTACAGAGCATCACGGATCTCTCCCCGGCTCTGGGAGGGGAGTGGGGGCTGGTGGGTTAGAGCAGGGGGAGTGGGGGCTGGGAGCCAGGACTCCTGGGTTCCATTCTCTGCCCCACCTCGGGTGCTGCGCTGAACTCGGGTGGAAAGTCGAATTCATGTCAATTGAAAGCATTTTAATTAGTTGAATGCACCCGCCCTTAACACACTGGCCGCGTAAGACCGGGGTTTCTCGGCACGTCCGGCATTCAAAAGGGACCCATGGATCACGGGAAGCAGGATCTGGCGCGAGGGAACTGAACCGGTTGCATCCAGTCCCCGGGTCCTGGCAGATTTTAGAGCTAGTAGATCTCTGCCTGGTTCTGTACAAACCGGGGGGGGGGGTTATCCCCTCTGCCAGTGAGGGGAGCGGAGATTTAGGGCAGAGCAAGCCCTTCAGAGGGACGGGGAGATGGGGAGCCCTTGAAGGCAGCTGGGGATGTCTGGGGCAGCGGGCGGGGCGGGGAGGGTCCAGGCCAAACTCCCTCCCTCGGTGTGGGGCTCTCACGCCTTGCCTTGCTTCCCACAGAAGTACCTCGAGAGCTACCTGAACTCCCTGCTGGCAATGTCCTTCTACCGCAACTGCCATGCCATGGTAACGTATCGCGCCCCCTTCAACTTCCTGGGCTCTCTCCGTGGCTCTGGGAGGGGAGTGGCAGGGGGCGGGGAGCCAGGACTCCTGGGTTCCATTCTCTGCACCGCCTCGGTGCCTCAGTTTCCCCACCCCTGCCGGTCTTGCTCTGAGCAGCTCTCCCCCACAGGCGGAGTTCCTGGATGTCAGCCAGCTCTCCTTCATCCCCGACCTGGGACCCAAGGGTCTGTGAGTCCAGTTCGCTTTCTCTGCCCAGGGACCCAGCGGCCTGCCAGCCACCATGGCAACCACTTCTTGGGGGGGGCTTTGTACGGGGGCGGGGAGGGGGCCAGCGAGAAAGGCTTCCCACACACAGGAGGGGAGTGATTTGGGGTGGGGGGGCAAGCGCCACTTGGAGCCAGGACTCCTGGGTTCTGTTCCCGGCCCTGGGGGAGAGTGGGGGCAGGTGGGTTAGAGCAGGGGGGTGGGGCTGGGAGCCAGGACTCCTGGGTTCTCTCCCCACTGACCTAGCTCCTGCTGCAGGGAGGGCATGATCCTGAAGCGCTCCGGTGGGCACCGAATCCAGGGGTTTAACTGCTGTGGGCGCCACCAGATCTGCTACCGCTGGTCAAAGAGGTGAGCTGGGGGGCCGGGCGGGGCGGGGGTCTGTGTGGCCCCCTCCCCACTCACAGGCCCCCTCTCCTCCCCCTCCAGGTGGCTGGTGGTGAAGGACTCCTTCCTGCTGTACCTCAAGCCGGAGTCGGGGGTCGTCTCCTATGTGCTGCTCTTCGACCCAGGATTCAGGGTCATGGTGGGGAAGAAACCCACCGACAGCAAGTACGGGGTCCGCATCGAGAACACCGCCAGGTCCGGACGCCGGGGTTCCACCCTGCCTGGGTTCTCTCCCTGGCTCTGGGAGGGGAGGGGGGCTGGTGGGTGAGAGCGGGGGGGCTGGGAGCCAGGACTCCTGGGTTCTCTCCCCGGCTCCGGGAGCGGAGTGGGGGCTGGTGGGTGAGAGCAGGGGGGGCTGGGAGCCAGGACTCCTGGGTTCTCTCCCTGGCTCTGGGAGCGGAGTGGGGGCTGGTGGGTGAGAGCAGGGGGGCTGGGAGCCAGGACTCCTGGGTTCTCTCCCTGGCTCCGGGAGCGGAGTGGGGGCTGGTGGGTTAGAGCGGGGGGGCTGGGAGCCAGGACTCCTGGGTTCTCTCCCTGGCTCCGGGAGGGGAGGGGGGGCTGGGGGGTGAGAGCAGGGGGGGCTGGGAGCCAGGACTCCTGGGTTCTCTCCCTGTGTCACGGAGTCCCTGGGCGATGCTCTGGAACTGCTCCCCATGAAGTCAGTCAGGACTCTGGGGCAGTCGCCTTTCTGTGAGCAGCCTGTCTTCAGGACACACAGCTCACCCAGCTTCCACCTTCCTGGGTCTGACCCCGGAGCATTCAGCCTCCTCTGCCCCTCCGTGCGCTTCCCCCAGCGAGTCCGCTCAGGCGGGGCTCCTGGGGAAGCCAGAGGGTCCTGCACCCCAACTTCGCAGTCAGACGTGACTCTCAGCCAGCCAGTAAAACAGAAGGTTTATTAGATGACAGGAACATGGTCTAACACAGAGCTTGCAGGTGCAGAAAACGGGACCCCTCAGCTGGGTCCATTCTGGGGGGCAGTGAGCCAGACAACCACGTCTGCACTTCACTCCATGTCCCAGCCAGCCCCAAACTGAAAACCCCTTGTCACGGAGTTCCTGGGCGATGCTCTGGAACTGCTCCCCATGAAGCCAGTCAGGACTCTGGGGCAGTCGCCTTTCTGTGAGCAGCCTGTCTTCAGGACACACAGCTCACACAGCTTCCACCTTCCTGGGTCTGACCTCGGAGCATTCAGCATCCTCTGCCTCTCCGTGCGCTTCCCACAGCGAGTCCGCTCAGGCGGGGCTCCTGGGGAAGCCAGAGGGTCCTGCACCCCAACTTCGCAGTCAGACGTGACTCTCAGCCAGCCAGTAAAACAGAAGGTTTATTAGACGACAGGAACATGGTCTAAAACAGAGCTTGCAGGTGCAGAGAACGGGACCCCTCAGCTGGGTCCATTTTGGGGGGCAGTGAGCCAGACAACCACGTCTGCACTTCACTCCATGTCCCAGCCAGCCCCAAACTGAAACTCCCTCCAGCCCCTCCTCCTCTGGGCTTTGTTCCTTTCCCGGGCCAGGTGGTCACCTGATTCCTTTGTTCTCCAACCCTTCAGCTCTCACCTTGCAGGGGGGAAGGGCCCAGGCCATCAGTTGCCAGGAAACAGGGTGTCGGCCATTCTCTGTGTCCAGACCCCTGCACACACCTGCCCTCTAGGGCTCTGCAATGATCATACACCCTTATCCCACCCCCTAGATACTTAAGAACTGCCTAGGGGAAACTGAGGCACCCCCACACTATTCAGAGGAAACATTAAGAACAGTCCCACTTCGTCACACCCCTCCAGCCCCCCCCCTCCTCTGGGCTTTGTTCCTTTCCCGGGCCAGGTGGTCACCTGATTCCTTTGTTCTCCAACCCTTCAGCTCTCACCTTGCAGGGGGGGAAGGGCCCAGGCCATCAGTTGCCAGGAAACAGGGTGTCGGCCATTCTCTGTGTCCAGACTCCTGCACACACCTGCCCTCTAGGGCTCTGCAATGATCATACACCCTTACTCCACCCCCTAGATACTTAAGAACTGCCTAGGGGAAACTGAGGCACCCCCACACTATTCAGAGGAAACATTAAGAACAGTCCCACTTCGTCACACCCTGGCTCTGGGAGCGGAGTGGGGGCTGGTGGGTGAGAGCAGGGGGGCTGGGAGCCAGGACTCCTGGGTTCTCTCCCTGGCTCCGGGAGCGGAGTGGGGGCTGGTGGGTTAGAGCGGGGGGGCTGGGAGCCAGGACTCCTGGGTTCTCTCCCTGGCTCCGGGAGGGGAGGGGGGGCTGGGGGGTGAGAGCAGGGGGGGCTGGGAGCCAGGACTCCTGGGTTCTCTCCCGGCTCCGGGACAGGGTGGGGGCTGGTTTGTGATTTCTCTCCCCCCCCCGCCCCCCAGGACGCTGATTCTGAAGTGCAGCAGCTACCGGCAGGCGCGCTGGTGGGGGCAGGAGATCACGGACCTGGCCGAGGAGCAGGGCAAGGACTTCCTGCACCTGCACGGCCACCAGGCCTTCGCGCCCGTCCGCGAGGGCTCGCCCACCCGCTGGTGAGAGGGGGGCACCCGCTGGGGCGGGGCACAGAGGACTGTGCAGGGGGCACTCGGCCCCCACGGGGAGGGGCCGGGATCCTGCGTGGAGGGGTGGGGGGAGTGAGATGGGGCAGGTCCCAGTGCCAGGGAATCCGGGGGCAGGGGGGGCTGGGAGGGGGCAGACGGGGGGGTCGTTCCTGGGGGTATGCAGCCCCCCGAGGTTCCAGTCTCTCCCCACCCGCGGCAGGTTTGTGAATGGCGCCGGGTACTTTGCGGCTCTGGCTGACGTGCTGATGCAAGCGAAGGAGGAGATTTATATCACTGACTGGTGGTGAGTGACCCCCTGCTGCCCCCAGGGCCCTGACCTGCCCCCCCTGCTGCCCCCAGGGCTCTGCCCCTCACACACACCCTCGGCCCCCCCCAGGTCCTGACCCCCAGGGCTCTGCGCTGTTCACCCTCCCCACCCCTCCTGCCTGCCCTCCAACCTTCTCACTGCCTCCCCTTCTAGGGCCTGGCCCCACGCCCCGCCCGGGTGTGCGCTGGGCCCCACTGATCTGCCACCCGGGGAGCCTTTCCGTCCGCGGGGATCCCGGCCCCAAAGCAGAGTCGGGGACGCCGCAGCCCCACGGCTTGGGGGGGCACGCCGGGTCCCAGGACCCTCGGAAGGTCGGGCTGGGTGGGACCTCGAGGGGTCGTGCAGTCCGGCCCCCCGCGCTGAGCCAGGACCAGTCACCCCAGCCCAGCCCCGACGGGCGTTTGTCCAGCCTGCTCTGAGACCCCCCCCGGCGACGGGACCCCCCTATGGCACCTGTCCCAGAGCCGACTCCCCAGAGAGGCGGGAGCGTTTCCTAAAACCCACCCGAGCGCACTGCAGGGACTGGGCGGGGCGCGGAGCAGGGGCACCCAGAGAGCCGGGCTCTCGGCGGAGTGGGGGGCAGGGCTCTGGGGGGGCAGAAACCACCGCCACCAAGGCCCCTCCCGGCCCGCAGGCTGAGCCCTGAGCTCCACCTGAAGCGCCCGGCGCAGACGGACGACTGGCGCCTGGACATCCTCTTGAAGCACAAGGCGGTGAGTGTCCCGGGGCGCGAGGGGTCCCGGGGGACCCCCGCCCCTCTAATGCCCTGCCTGCCCCCCCAGGAGGAGGGCGTGCGGGTCTGCGTGCTGCTCTTCAAGGAGGTGGAGCTGGCCCTGGGCATCAACAGCGGCTACAGCAAGCGGGCGCTCACGCTTCTGCACCCCAACATCAAGGTAGGGGACCCAGGCGTCCGGGACGGCGGCCCAGGGCGCTCGCCCCCGGTGGGCCCCGGGGAGGGGGGAGGGGACCCAGGCATCCGGGACGGCGGCCCAGGGCGCTCGCCCCCGGTGGGCCCCGGGGAGGGGGGAGGGGCCCGCTCCGGGGAGGGGGAAGGGGGCCCCCGAGGGGGGGGGGCCCGGGGACGGGGGAGGGGCGCCCCGAGGTGGGGAGGGGGGGCGTCCGGGACGGGGGCGCAGGGCGCTCGCCCCCGAGGTGGGGAGGGGGGACCCAGGCGTCCAGGACGGCGGCCCAGGGCGCTCGCCCCCGGTGGGCCCCGGGGAGGGGGGAGGGGACCCAGGCGTCCGGGACGGGGGCGCAGGGCGCTCGCCCCCGAGGTGGGGAGGGGGGACCCAGGCGTCCGGGACGGCGGCCCAGGGCGCTCGCCCCGGTGGGGGGGGGGGGAGGGGACCAGGCGCCGGGAGGGCAGGGGCCCGGGGCCCGGGGAGGGGGGAGGGGACCCAGGCGTCCGGGACGGGGGCACAGGGCGCTCGCCCCCGAGGTGGGGAGGGGGGACCCAGGCATCCGGGACGGCGGCCCAGGGCGCTCGCCCCCGGTGGGCCCCGGGGAGGGGGGAGGGGACCCAGGCGTCCGGGACGGGGGCGCAGGGCGCTCGCCCCGAGGTGGGGAAGGGGGGACCCAGGCGTCCGGGACGGCGGCCCAGGGCGCTCGCCCCGGTGGGCCCCGGGAGGGGGAGGGGACCCAGGCGTCGGGAGGGGCCCAGGGCGCTCGGCGGGAGGGGGGAGGGGACCAGGCGTCCGGGAGGGGGCACAGGGCGCCGCCCGAGGTGGGGAGGGGGGACCCAGGGTCCGGGAGGGGCCCAGGGCCGCCCGGTGGGCCCGGGGAGGGGGAGGGGACCCAGGGTCCGGGAGGGGCGAGGGCGCCCGAGGTGGGGAGGGGGGACCCAGGCGTCCGGGACGGCGGCCCAGGGCACTCACCGCCGGTGGGCCCCGGGGAGGGGGGAGGGGACCCAGGCGTCCGGGACGGGGGGCACAGGGTGCTCGCCCCGGTGGGCCCCGGGGAGTGGGGAGGGGACCCAGGTGTCCGGGACGGGGGCGCAGGGCGCTCGCCCCCGAGGTGGGGAGGGGGGACCCAGGCGTCCGGGACGGCGGCCCAGGGCGCTCGCCCCTCGGCCCCGGGGAAGGGTCTCTGAGCTCTCTGCCCCCCGGCCCAGGTGATGCGCCATCCCGACCACGTCTCCTCCGTTGTGTTCCTGTGGGCCCACCACGAGAAGCTGGTGGTGGTGGACCAGAGCGTGGCCTTTCTCGGGGGGCTGGACCTGGCCTACGGGCGCTGGGACGACCACCGCTACCGGCTCACCGACCTGCCCCCCCACCCCAAGGTCAGAGCCCCCCGCGCGGCCCCCTCCTCTCCTGGGGATCCGCCTGCCCCAGGTCCCCGAGTTTCTCTTCCCCTGATCTCCTCCCCCATCTCTCTCTTGACGCCGCCCCCCCCGGGGAGTGACCCCACTCCTCACGCTGGACTCTGTCTCCCTCAGAGCGGGGTGCCCCTGGGGGAAGAGCCCCCCGTTGACCTGGCTGCCAACGAGCAACTCTGGCTGGGCAAGGACTACAGTAACCTCATCACCAAGGACTGGGTGCAGCTCGACCGGCCCTTCGAAGGTGAGCGGGGAAGTGGGGGGGTCCCTCCGGCATTGGGCCGGGGTGTGCGGGCTGGACTGGGCAGTGTGCGTGCCTGGGGCTGACTTGGGGCTATATCCCTTTAACTCTGCCCCTGGCGTGTGTATGAGAGCGTTACATCCCCTTAACTGTGCCCCTGAGAGCGTTACACCTCCTTAACTGTGCCCCTGAGAGCGTTACACCTCCCAACCCCTGTGCCCCTGAGAGCGTTACACCCCCTAAACTGTGCCCGTCCATCGAGGGAGCTTAAGTGGACCTCCCCCTGCCCCTTAGCAACACAGCGCCCCCTACCCCCAGTGGGTGGGGTCCGACCCCCGACTCCACTCTGCAGCCAAGGTGACCCAGGCCCAGCCGGTGAGTTGCCCCGAAAAGCCCCTTGAATTCAGGATGGGCTGGCGATCGTTCCAGGGGCTCAATGGGGTCGTTCTTTGGACACGGGTTCGGGGGGCGTCAAGGGTCACCCGGCCAGCCCCTGCCCTCCTGCTGACCGGCTCCCCCTGGGTGTCAGATTTCATCGACAGGACCCAGATGCCCCGGATGCCCTGGAGGGACGTGGGGGTGGCTGTGCATGGCAGAGCGGCCCGCGACGTCGCCCGCCACTTCATCCAGCGCTGGAATTTCACCAAGGTCCGGGGCCGCCGGGAGCCTGCCACGGGGCCCGAGTTCGGGGGGGGAGGGTGCCGGGGCCTGTGCCCCAGGGGTGGGGGGGGCGCGACCTGCGGTCTCTCCGCCCACCTCCTGTCCCGTTGCAGACGGTGAAGAACAAGTACCGGGGCCCGGAGTACCCCTGCCTGCTGCCCAAGTCGCTCGGCGCCGCCCACCGCCTGCCCCTCGCCGGAGCCCAGCCCGCCAACGTGCAGGTCAGCGGGCGCCCCGGGGGCAGGGGGGCGCTGAGTGAGCCCAGGGAGCTTGGGCAGGTCACCCTATGGGGCCACAGGGAGTCACCCGATGGGCCCAGGGAGCGTGGGGGGGGCAGAAATCACCCGATGGCCCTAGGGAGCGTGGCGTGGGGCAGAAATCACCCGATGGCCCCAGGGAGCGTGTGTGTGGGGGAATCACCCGATGGGCCCAGGGAGCGTGTGGGGGGGGAATCACCCGATGGCCCTAGGGAGCGTGGGGGGGGGGAATCACCCGATGGGCCCAGGGAGCGTGGGGGGGGGGGGCAGAAATCACCCGATGGCCCCAGGGAGCGTGTGTGTGGGGGAATCACCCGATGGCCCTAGGGAGCGTGGGGGGGGGGAATCACCCGATCGGCCCAGGGAGCGTGGCGGGGGGGCAGAAATCACCCGATGGCCCTAGGGAGCGTGGCGTGGGGCAGAAATCACCCGATGGGCCCAGGGAGCGTGTGTGTGGGGGAATCACCCGATGGGCCCAGGGAGCGTGTGGGGGGGGAATCACCCGATGGGCCTAGGGAGCGTGTGGGGGGGGAATCACACAATGGGCCTAGGGAATGGGGGGGGCAGAAATCACCCGATGGGCCCCGAGAGTTAAAGGTCCCAGGGGTCATCCTACAGGTAATGGGCGGGGGGCGTAAATCACCTTATGGGCCCAGGGAGTTAAAGATCTCAGGGGGTCATCCTATGGGCCCAGGGGGTAGGGGTCACCCGATGGGCCCGGGGCATTAGGGATCTCAGGGGGTCATTCTATGGGTTCGGGGGGGGCGGGGGACATGCAGTTCTGGGGTCAAAGAAGGGCAGGTGGCCAGGGGCCACTGGGGGTCGGCAGGCGCGGCCGGGGGCTCTGGCTCCCCTCACCCTGCCCCCCACTGCTGCCCCCCAGGTGCTGCGCTCGGTGGATCGCTGGTCGGCCGGGACCCACGAGTGCTCCATCTACAACGCCTACCTGAGCCTCATCCGGGGCAGCCAGCACTACATCTACATCGAGGTGGGGCCGGGCGGGGGGCTGGGGGGGCCGGGGGCTGGGCTATGCCGGCGCCTGGGGGGGTCGCTCTCTCCGGGCTCTGACCCCCCATCTCCCCCCAGAACCAGTTCTTCATCAGCTGTGCGGACGAGCGCTCGGTGCTCAACGCTGTGGGGGACGCCATCGTCAGCCGCATCCTGCACGCCCACAGGTCACCCCACGGCGGGGGCGGGGGGGGAGGCCAGCCCCGGGGGGAGCCCCTGGGGGGGGCACATGGTGTGTGAGGGGGCAGGGTCCCATTGTGCTGGGCTGGGGGGGGCAGGATCGGCACCGGGAGGAGGCAGAGCTAACTGTGGGGATGGGGGAGACCCCAGGACTGGCCCTGGGGAGGGGGACGCGGCTCATGTTGTGGGGGGGGGCAGGGCTAACTCTGGGACCCCAGCCCCCCCAGGGGAGGGGCTCTCCCTGTGGGTGTGGGGGGGTAACGTCTCCCTGTGCCCCCCCCCGCAGAGAGCAGAAGCGGTTCCGGGTCTTCGTGCTGCTGCCCCTGCTGCCCGGCTTTGAGGGGGACATCGCCGAGGGGGGGGGGAACTCGATCCAGGCCATCCTGCACTTCACCTACCGGTACGGGGGGGTGGTGGGTCACAAGGGGGGGCTGGGGGGAGGAGGAGGTTGGGGAAGCCACCGGGGCTGGGGGAAGGGGAGCCTGGAACGAGTGTAATGTGGGGAGGGGGCCCAGGAGAGGGTGAACTGGGGGGGGCAGGAGGGGCAGAGGGGCCCCACTCACTGGCTGCCTCTTTCCTTCTCCCCCAGGACGCTCTGCCGGGGCGACTCCTCCATCCTGTGCCGCCTGAAAGCCGCCAGTGAGTGGGGGGGGGGGGGGGGCAGAGGAGGGCTCCGCTCTGACCCCGCACTCCCCTCCCAGAGCGGGGAGAGAACCCAGGCGTCCTGCCTGCCAGCCCCCCATGCTCTAACCCCCCACTCCCCTCACACAGCCGGGGACAGAACCCAGGAGTCCCGGCTCCCAGCCCCCCCCGTTCTAACCCACCAGCCTCCACTCCCCTCCCAGAGCCGGGGACAGAACCCAGGAGTCCCGGCTCCCAGCCCCCCCCCCCCGTTCTAACCCACCAGCCTCCACTCCCCTCCCAGAGAACCCAGGGGTGAGGGCTATGTCGGAGGTCAGTATGCTGCCCAGGGAAGGAACCCAGCCCCCCATGAGCTCAGGACCCCCAGCCCTGGTACCCTGGGGGGCTGAGTAACCCCCATTCTCCCCCCCCCGGCAGTCGGGGACGAGTGGAAGAACTACATCTCCATCTGCGGGCTGCGCACCCACGGGGAGCTGAGCGGCACCCTCATCACCGAGCTGGTCTACATCCACAGCAAGATGCTCATCGCCGACGACCGTCGGGTCCTTATCGGTGAGTGCCGGCGTGAACCCAGGAGTCCTGGCCCCCCCGCTGGGTCAAGATTGAGGGGCATCAGCAGGGCTGGGCTGGCAGGGGCTGCGGGTCGGGAGGGAGGGGCCCTGGCAGGGGGCTGCGGGTTGGGAGGGAGGGGCACCGGCAGGGCTGTGGGGGGCTGCGGGTCGGGAGGGAGGGGTACCGGCAGGGAAGGGAGGGGCTGCGGGTCAGGAGGGAGGGGCCCCGGCAGGGGGCTGTGGGTCGGGAGGGAGGGGCCCCGGCAGGGCTGGGGGGGCTGCGGGTCGGGAGGGAGGGAGGGGCCCCGGCAGGGCTCTGATCCGTCCCTGGCCCCCCCAGGTTCTGCCAACATCAACGACCGCAGCCTGCTGGGGAAGCGGGACAGCGAGCTGGCCCTGCTGGTGGAGGACACGGAGCTGGTCCCCTCGGTCATGGGCGGGGAGCCCTACGAGGCGGGGAAATTCGCACTCAGCCTGCGCCTCGACTGCTTCAGGTGGGGGCATGCGCCGCCCGCGGGCCTGCTGGCCCCCCAGCTGTGTGCGCGCACCTCGCCTGGGGGGCTGGGGGAGGTGCGCTGGGAAGACGGGGTGCAATCCCATCCCCCACTGCTGGGCGGCAGCCATGAGCTGTTACCTGGGCACGGGCACCTCACCCCCGCGCTGGGCCCTTCTCCGCAGGTCGCTTCTGGGGGCGTCGAGCACCGCCAGCCCCGACATCCAGGATCCGGTCAGCGACCACTTCTTCCACGGCGCCTGGAAAGCCACCGGCCTGGCCAACGCCAACATCTATGATCAGGTGAGCAGGGAGTCGGGGGGCAGGGCTGGGCGGGCAGGGGGCTGCGGGTCGGGAGTGAGGGGCACTGGCTGGGCCGGCGAGGGGCTGCGGGTCGGGAGTGAGGGGGCGCTGGCTGGGCCGGCGGGGGGCTGGGGGTCGGGAGTGAGGGGCGCAGGCTGGGCCGGCGGGGGGCTGGGGGTCGGGAGTGAGGGGCGCAGGCTGGGCCGGCGGGGGGGGGGGGGTCGGGAGTGAGGGGCGCAGGCTGGGCCGGCGGGGGGCGGCGGGTCGGGAGTGAGGGGGGCTGGCTGGGCCGGCGGGGGGGCTGGGGGTCGGGAGTGAGGGGCGCAGGCTGGGCCGGCGGGGGGCTGGGGGTCGGGAGTGAGGGGCGCAGGCTGGGCCGGCGGGGGGCGGCGGGTCGGGAGTGAGGGGCGCAGGCTGGGCCGGCGGGGGGCGGCGGGTCGGGAGTGAGGGGCGCAGGCTGGGCCGGCGGGGGGCGGCGGGTCGGGAGTGAGGGGCGCAGGCTGGGCCGGCGGGGGCGGGGGGCGGGTCGGGAGTGAGGGGCGCAGGCTGGGCCGGGGCGGGGGCGGGGGTCGGGAGTGAGGGGGCGCAGGCTGGGCCGGCGGGGGGCGGCGGGTCGGGAGTGAGGGGGCGCAGGCTGGGCGGCGGGGGGGGGCGGCGGGTCGGGAGTGAGGGGCGCAGGCTGGGCCGGCGGGGGGCTGGGGGTCGGGAGTGAGGGGCGCAGGCTGGGCCGGCGGGGGGCGGCGGGTCGGGAGTGAGGGGGGCTGGCTGGGCCGGCGGGGGGCTGGGGGTCGGGAGTGAGGGGCGCAGGCTGGGCCGGCGGGGGGCTGGGGGTCGGGAGTGAGGGGCGCTGGCTGGGCCGGCGGGGGGCGGCGGGTCGGGAGTGAGGGGCGCTGGCTGGGCTGGCGGGGGGCTGCGGGTCGTGGGTGTGGATTCCAGCCCCCGCTGGCTCTGACCCACGGCCTCTGGCCCCCCGGCAGGTGTTCCGCTGCCTCCCCACCAACGCGGTGCGGTCGCTCCGGGCCCTGCGGGAGTACGTGGGGGTGCAGAACCTGGCCTGCGTCAGCCCGGAGCTGGCCCGCCAACACCTGGCCCAGGTGCGGGGCCACCTGGTGCAGTTCCCGCTCCAGTTCCTGGCCGAGGAGTCCCTCCTGCCCCCCCTCAACAGCAAGGAGGGCGTGATCCCCGTGGAGGTGTGGACCTAGCCGCCCGTGGGGCTGGAGCGCTGGGCCCCCTCTCTGCCCTGGGAGTGCAGCTCCGTCGCCCCGCAGCCCACCCCCTGCTCTGGGCACCCCCGGCTGCGACAAGAGCCCCCCCTGCACCCGGCCAGGGGGGCTGGGACCCATTCTCTGCCCGCCCAGGCCCCCGACCACACCGACACTGCTGAGTCCCTTTACAGCTCAGCCCCTCTCCCTGCCCGTTTGCACAGCCCCCCAACCCCTTCCTGTAGGTCGCCCCGAGGGCAGGGCCGCCCGGCGGCTCAGCATGCCACTGGCTCGGCCCTACAACCAGCCGCCCGGCCCGCCCCGCTCCTCGCCTCCCTCCGTTCTGCCTTTGGCGCCCCACCCCGGGAGGGGGAGCGTCCCCCGTCACTACATTCCAGAGGCCGACTTCCCACAGGAGGGGGGCGCATCGCTCCCCCCCGGCCCCCCGCTGCTACTAACTGCTGAGTGTCACCCCAGCCTCGCCCACTGGGCACCCCACCCCGGCCAACGGGAGCCCTCGGCTGCCGGTGCTTGGCACCGCCCGGACCCCCAGAACACTACCGGTGGCCGGGTTCCTCCCGCGAACCCACAGGCCCCCCAGCGCTGCCCTCGGGGGCCGAACCACGAAGGCACAGCCGGGCTGGGAGGCCGGAGGTGGGCATGGGAGGGCCGCGCGCACGCCCCGGGATCTGGAGCTGCTAGGTCAAAGGTTTCACCGCCAGTGGCATGCCCTGAGCTGCAGGGCGGGCGAGGGGGGTCCCTGGGGTTTGCTCCCTGGCGTCCCCGTCCCCCGGTAACGGGACCAGCTCCGCGCCCTGCTCCTAACCTGCTTTTCCGAGATGGTTTGTTACATAAACGCGCTGAAACCTCGGCCCGCCTCTCTCCTTATTCCACGCCAGGCCGGCTGCCAGGCTGGGCCCCCGGGTGCCGGCCCCGCGGGTGGCAGGGGGGCGTTGGCCTGGCGGAGACAGGGAGAGACCAGTGGGAGGCGCACGGGGACTGGCTACACAAGGATGGCACCCCATGCACCGGGGCCGGAGAAGTCTGGCGTGACCGCCCCGTGCCCGCAGGAGGGGCATGCCGCAGAGAGGGCGGGGTGTCAGGGGGCGAATATGTACAACCCCACCTCTGGGGGGGTGTGTGGGTGTGTGTACATTCCTGCTGGGTGGGTGGGTGTCTATGCACCCCAGGGTGTGTGTGCGCGCCCGCTGTGTGTGTGTAGGTGTGTTTACACACCCTGGGGGGCTCCCCTTTCTGAGGGCCCCCCACTGGCGGATTTCCCCTTGGCCCAGCAGTCAGGGCGAGATAAAAGGGCTCTGTTCCTGGCAGCCGCCCCCTCGCTTGACGAGAAGAGCCCGGCCAAGGGCCCCCACCACCGGGCAGGACCCTGCCAGCGCCTGGCATCAGCCTAGCGCGGTGCTGGGCACCCGGCCAGGTCCAGAGAAGGGGGCCACGGCCGGGAGAGAGACGGTGACTGGCCCAGCTCTCCACCTCTGGGGACGGCTGAGCCTGCCGTGGTCCACGGGCCCTGCGGCTTGGCATGAGCATCTGCCAGGCCAGGGAGTCTGGGAAAGGGGCCCCCTGAGAACCCACCGCTGCCACCACCGCTCCCGCAGCGCACAGGCTGCTAGAAGAACGCTTTGTTCCTGGGGGCGAGGGTTTGTTTTTGGGGCTGGAGGCTTTGGGGGTTCCCCCCAAACTCCAGCTGAATCCCCAGGGCCACAGCATTCAGAGAACCATGTCCCCAGCTGGGGGGGGGGGGGGGCTTTGTCTCATTAGACTGTGCGCTTTTCTAGGAGGGGGACCCCTCTCTCTCTCACACTGTGTCGGGCTGGCACCTGCCACAGTGGGGCCTGATCTCATTTGGGGGTCTGGGCCACGCCCGGCACACTGGGGGCCGATCTCAGTGGGGGGGTCCGTGCCATCCCCGGCACACTGGGGGCCCTGAGCTGAGTTGGGGGTCTATGCCACACCCAGCACAACGGGGGCTGATCTCAGTGGGAGGTCTGTGCTGTGCTGCAGGCCGGGGCTCAGCAGGGGGTGCTCTGCCCGGGCAGCCAATGCTGGCCCCAGGGCCCCCAGGCAGCACGGGGGTGGGGAGGGTGCCGTAGTAGTTGGCTCCACAGGGGGTGCTCCCGCCCCGCAGCCAGCGCCTGGCACCGGGGGGCGCTGCACAGCTGCCCAGAGCAGACCCACGCTCAAGCCCTGGCTGCTGTGTGATCCTTCAAGATCCAGGACTGCCCAGGGAAGTGGGGCTCCGGGGGGGGCCCCCGGGGGGGGGGGGGGGGGGGGGGGGGGGGGGGGGGGGGGGGGGGGGGGGGGGGGGGCCCCCCGGGGGGGGGGGGGGGGGGGAGGGGGGGCGGGGGGGGGGGGGGGGGGGGGGGGGGGGGGGGGGGGGGGGGGGGGGGGGGGGGGGGGGGGGGGGGGGGGGGGGGGGGGGGGGGGGGGGGGGCCGCAGGGAGGGGGGGGGGGGCCCGGGGGGGCCGGGGGGGCCGGACCACCCCCAGTCCTGACTGCTTCAGGGGAGGGGGGGAGCGGCTGCGAAGGGGAGACAGGCCAGTCCCAGGCTGCTCCGCCCTGGCCTTCGAGGTCACGCCGGGACGTGTTTCCTAATTAGCCTGAAAATGTTACATGTGTTGTCAATAAACCTGCTTATTCCCCCCCACCCCCAACCCGCCCCCCCGGTGTGGGGTGGCCCCCTACCCCACCCGCTCGCCCACCCCAGCGCCTAGCTAACTGAGCCAGAGGGGACAGGCCCCGTGCCCCATTCCCCGCCCCCCGGAGCCAGCCGGCGCCCCCCAGAGGGGACAGGCCCCGTGCCCCATTCCCCGCCCCCCGGAGCCAGCCGGCGCCCCCCAGAGGGCACAGGCCCCGTGCCCCATTCCCCGCCCCCCGGAGCCAGCCGGCGCCCCCCAGAGGGGACAGGCCCCGTGCCCCATTCCCCGCTCCCCGGAGCCAGCCGGCGCCCCCCAGAGGGGACAGGCCCCGTGCCCAATTCCCTGCCCTGGGCCGGGTGGGAGCTGGTGCCCCCCAGAGGGCACAGGCCCCATGTCCCCCGGGGGGAGCGGTGGCTCTTTGAGGCCTGGGGGCGGCTCTGTGGGGCAGGCTGCGGGGATTCGAAGGGAGGCAGCAGCCGTGGGGCTCGTACGAGAGGTGCAGAGGCCACCCCCACAGCAGGACACCGGCACCTCAGCCCCCCCCAGCTGGGCGGCACCCTGACCCCTGGCTGCCTGGGGCTGTGGGGCGGGGTGAGCTGGGCCAGGCCCAGACGCATCCTTGCCAGAGCCACCAGTGGGCTGGGGCTGGGGGGAGATTGTGACGGCCTCAGCCTTGGGGGGGGACACCCCCTTCCTGCCAGCCAGGCCCCCCCCCACCCCAGAACAGGCCCCTCCCCTTCAGACCACCCCTCCCCACCAGGGAATCAAGCCCCACCCCCTGAAGAAACGGGCCCCTCCCACTCAGATACAGGTTCCTCCCCCTCAGGCTGCCCCCCCTGCTCTGAGCAGAGACCCCTCCCCCTCAGAAACACGCCCCTCTGTAGCCAGACAGCCCCCCCCCCCCCAGACCAGCATTGCTGGAAACACAGGAGGAAGCCGGAACAGGGCACTTAACATATATTCCAGCACAGCCTTTGAAGCTGTGAAAAGCACAGGTGTGCTGCTACAATGTGCCTCGGGGAGCAGATACGAGGATTCAGCTCACAGCAGGCAGAGGCCCTGTGACAGACATGGCTCTTAGCCCTTACTAAATAGCGTGATGCTCACACCCCAACATCCTAGGTGGGAAAATATTTACCCTGATAAAAGAAATGTCCAGTAGTCGACACTTATTGTTTCTCTCCTTTGCAAGTGTAAACTACTCTTGCGAGAGCTGGCGTCGCCCTGACAGACCAGCCCCAATTTGGCATAAGAAAGGAGAAAGAGAATAAAGGAGTACAGAGGTATAAGTAGGGGACCTACAGCACCATGATTTTTGAGTGCTTTTCACTATCTATCTGCTGGTCAGATAAGTGACAGCCTCCCAAGGCTTCTGCAGCTAAGAGGGTCCCTAAGCCTTGTCCCTTATTCGTCTTTCCGCGGAATTGAGTGACCGATCCTGGCTTGGCACCGCTGGAATCGAGAGATGCAAGGAGGGAAAGAAGCACCCACACCTGATCTCCTATCTTTAGTGTACACATATTTGAAATAGAGCTCTGTACTTTGTTTTCTTTCTTTGGGATTGTGGCTTCAGTTTTGTAACTTGTTTGTGTGTGTAACATCTCTACATTTAAATAAGTAGACACTAGCAATTTTGTAACCACATGATTAGAATCTAGCTTCATAAATTTTGGTAACCATTTATGCATAAGCCTGACTTGTTTTCTCTGGTTTACTGTAAAGCAGCCGACACAATTAAAGAACCTCAGCCGTTTTGGCTCTAAAGCCTGGCCATTAGGTGAGAGTACGAAGAGCCTAGCGTTGAGTTGAGCCGCCTCCACGGGGCAAACGCTTGGGGCGCCTGTCAGTCAATCCTGGCTGCCCGCTGCGAAGGAGCTCTGAGCTCTAGCGGTTAACGTCACGGGTGTGGAGAGGCTCTTAGCGCTGCCATTGGGGCGCCGGTCAGTCAGTGTTGGCTGCCCGCTGCGAAGGTGCTCTGAGCTCTAGCGGTTAACGTCACGGGTGTGGAGAGGCTCTTAGTGCTGCCATTGGGGCACCGGTCAGTCAGTCCTGGCTGCCCGCTGCGAAGGAGCTCTGAGCTCTAGCGGTTAACGTCACGGGTGTGGAGAGGCTCTTAGTGCTGCCATTGGGGCACCGGTCGGTCAGTCCTGGCTGCCCGCTGCGAAGGAGCTCTGAGCTCTAGCGGTTAAAGTCACGGGTGTGGAGAGGCTCTTAGGCTGCCATTGTCTCGCGGGAGCGTCGGTTCGTCACGGGTGTGGAGAGGTCTGGTGTTGGGGCGGTGTCAGTGTGGCTGCCCGGGAAGAGCTCTGAGTCTGGTTAATCACGGGGGGAGAGGTCTGGTGGGGCCGTCAGTCATCCTGGTGCGGAAGGAGTCTGACGGTAACCACGGGTGTGGAGAGGCTCTTAGGTGCCATTGGGGCCCGGTCGTCATCCTGGCTGCCGTGGAAGGGCTGAGCAGGTTAACCACGGGTGTGGAGAGGCTCTGCGTTGGGGCAGTCGTCGTCCTGGTGTAAGGCGGCGGTAGCAGGGGGAGAGTGCGTCTGCGAAGGTCTGTCAGGGTTAATCACGGGTGTGGAGAGGCTCTTAGGTGCCTTGGGGCCCGTCGTCGTCCTGGTGCTGAGGCTCGTCGCGTTCGGGGGGGGGCTCTACGCGGGCCCCTCGTTGCTGCCGGAAGGAGTTGAGTCAGGTTAACGTCACGGGGTGGAGAGGCTCTTAGGTGCCATTGGGGCCCGTCGTCAGTCCTGGCTGCCCGTGAAGGAGCTCTGAGCTCTGGGTTAAAGTCACGGGTGTGGAGAGGCTCTAGGAGGGCGTCATCGTCCTGCCGTGTCTGTGTAGTACGGGTGTGGAGAGGCTCTTGGATTGGGGCGTCAGTCAGTCTGGTGTGAGGTCTGAGTCTGGTTCGGGTGTGGAGAGGTCTTAGGGATTGGGGCCGTCAGTCGTCCTGCTGCGTGAAGGGCTCTGGTCTGACGGGGGGGGGCTGGGTTGGGGCGTCTCCTGCCGAGGGTGGTTGACAGGGGGGGGTTGGTTGGGGTGTTGGCTGTGGAAGGGTTGGTGGGTTAATCACGGGTGTGGAGAGGCTCTTAGTGCTGCCTTGGGGCCAGTCGTCCTGGCTCCGGAGGGGGTCAACCACGGGGGGGTTTATTCGTCTGGAAGGAGTCTGGTCAGTTACGTCACGGGGTGGAGGGCTCTTGGCCCTGGGGCCCTCCTCCTGGC